GCGCTAAAATGTAAAGTGGTGAAACAAGTAAATACGATCAGTGTGTTTGTTCCAGTAAATAAAAAGCGAATGGTGAGATTTAGACATAATATAGGTAAACACCTACCTTTATTACCGGTAGGTACTACTGTTGATACACAATACAACAATCTAAGTGATTGTATTAATAAAGAGTTCAACACCATCTTTACCCCAAAGAAAGTCTCTCATTCGCAGTGTAAATCGTTTAGTGATTGGGCGACAGCGGGAATTTATAAAAGTAGGCAACGGTTGTATGACCTTTACGCTGAAAAGTCATACAATCATAATGAAGAATTTATTCTTTATGTTCGAAATTATTTAAGAAAGTTTGTTACGCGGCCAAGTCCTTAAATATCAAAAACAAGATTAAAAATAGTACCAATAAAACTAAAATGACTTGGAAGATAATTGACAGTGAAACTGGAAGAGTCAGGGATCGCAATCATGACATCGAACTATGTGTCGATAACACTATAATCATATCTAACGAAGAGATAGCAATTGTTTTTGATAAGTACTTTGCTGACATTCCAATTTCGACTACTAAGTCTCTTCAATCATCTCCCGCCCTCGCTAAATCGCTGCTCAAAGATAATGTAAACGAGTGCAAGGTCAGTTTTACTTTCCGACCCATTGGTGCCGACGATATAGTTACTAGTTAGGATATTTAGAACCATATATATTAAGAACACTACCGATCTTTGGGGTATTTCTGTAAAAATAATTAGTAGCATAATTGATGTAATTGCTCCCCATCTAGCTATAATTTCCAACAATTGTATTAAAAGTGGCGAGTTTCCCGATCTAATGAAACATAGTAAAGTTATTCCATTATTTAAAGCAGGTAGTATGTCCGACCCCAGTAACTTTAGACCAATTTCCGTACTACCTACTTGTAGTAAAATATTTGAAAAAATTATATTAAATCAACGGGTAAGTCATTTTAACGTAAACAAATTATTACATAATAATCAGTTCGGTTTTACCAAGGGTCGCTCGACAGCCGATGCCGGTGTTGAGTTATATAGATATATGGTTAAGGCTTGGGAGGAGTCGCATGACCCTTTAGGTGTTTTCTGCGACTTATCCAAAGCATTTGATTGTGTCCAACACGAGACCTTAATCGGGAAACTCCGCCACTATGACATCAAGAATACCGCACTGAATCTTCTGACTTCCTATTTACACGGAAGAACTCAGAAGGTTGAAGTGAATGGTAAGATGTCTTCTGGGTCGGCAGTAGATATGGGGGTACCACAGGGCTCAATTCTTGGCCCTTTTCTCTTTCTTGTTTATATAAATGATCTACCTTTCATGGTAGAGAGAAAACATCAGATAGTTTTGTTTGCTGATGACACGTCCTTGATTTTTAAAATCAAACGACAAATAATAAATTTTGACGATGTGAACAATGCTCTATCTTTGATTGTCCATTGGTTTAGTATGAATAACCTTCTACTTAATGCAAAAAAGACAAAATGCATTAAATTTTGTGCAAAAAATGCAAGGGTTATGGATACTAGACCAATTAATTATAAACGGTGAGGAATTGAATCTAGATGATACAACTGTATTTCTCGGAATCACCATGGATTCAAAACTTCAGTGGTCCCCTCATATTAACGGATTGGCGAAGAGACTTAGTTCTGCAGCCTACGCGGTTAAAAAAATTCGCTCACTAACTGATGTCGATACAGCTAGACTTGTTTATTTTAGTTACTTTCATAGCTTAATGACTTATGGCTTATTATTATGGGGTCATGCTGCTGATGTCGAAACTATTTTCATCCTGCAGAAGAGGGCTATTCGTGCAATCTATAATTTAAAATGTAGGGAATCTCTTAGAGATAAATTTAAGGAAATTAATATACTTGCCTTTCCCTCGCAATATATTTATGAAAATATTATGTATGTATACAAAAATAGTGATAAGTTTACTAGAATAGAACATACGCACAATGTTAATACACGGAACAAACGCAGGCTGCAATTTCCCCGTACTAGACTATCTAAAGTTAGTAATTCTTTTTTGGGAAAAGGGATACTCTTCTTTAATAAAATCTCAGAGGCTCTTTTATCTCTGCCTTTAAATAAATTAAAGAAATGTATTAAAGAAAAGCTGTGTAAAAAGGCTTACTATAAAGTCAACGATTATCTAGTTGATAAAAGGGCCTGGGACTGGTGCTAGACAGGCTACTTCTAATTAATTTGCGATATTTGTTTTAAAATAAGTGTTGTTTGATGATTTGATATTTTATAAAGAGTACCGAGAGTTTTTTACGCCGGCTTTTTCTCTCGGCCTACATCCTCTGTCTTCTTTGCCGATGAGTAGGGATGCCTACAAATTCAAATTTAATGACGTGGAATAAGTGATACATGTATCTTATGTTCCTTAATAAACATATTTTATTTTATTTATTTTATTTTATTTTCCACAAAAAAGTGGTCATGTAATAACAATTATTAAAACCAATTAATATAATTAAAAACTAAACATACTAAACAAACACATTAAATCCAAAGGTGCGCGTAAACGAGGGCAATAATTGCTCGGCGACACAAATAGACCGATCTGGAGCAATTAATGGAGCAATTACAATAATTTCAATAAATTATTTCGGCGATATTGCTTCTCATTGCTCCAGATATTTCATATCGCTCAATGTCGCAGACACGAATTGACGAATATCCAATGGACTTGGAAATTTTTGTTTATAACTCTTTCGAACTTGTTTGTTTTGCGAGCGAATACTGAAATGCTCGTGTAGGACAGTATTGCCTAGTTGATGAAGTTGCGCCATATCGCTCAATATTGTATTGCGCAGTATTGATGCTTGTTGCTGTTGCCGTAAATTGCTTGATGTAGTCGTGACGTCATAGTTGACGAGTATTAAGCCAACCTTTATGTGATATATTTGATAGAATATGGAATTTATGCAGAAAAATTATTTTGTAAATAAAAACTTTAAGTTAAATTATGTATAAACATATAATTTTCTAAATTAGATATATTACAAAATAAAATATATTTCAATAAGGAAAGAAAATACATGATATTAACGTTTATTATATAATTTTTAATTAACAACATCAATATTTTTTTATTTTAAACTATTTTACTAATATATTAATGCTATCGGACATCGAATTCAATAATAAACAGTTCTAAATTAAATCAGTGACAACGTTCAATAAAGATCGCACAAATAATCCTCACTCTTCGATGTCCATACACAAAAAGCCTTAAACTTCTAAAATTTTTCTTATTCTAACATCTAATAAACTTTCTATTCAGAATTAAATTCAGTAATATTTTAGATTATATTATTATTAGCATTAGAATTACGCCAACCGATGGATTCCGACGTGTAAATCACAGTTCTGTCTTTCTGAGACCGATGTCATTGGTCAATATTTTTCGCCAGAGAACTTGATTTAGCGTTGACATAATTTTAATATGAGATCTTATTTACGTTATAGCTATTATGGTTCTTAGACCATTACACATACTATCTAATATTTTAATAATCTTAAACAGAGATATAGAGTATTTAACAACATACTTGCGGTTTATAGGGATTGAAATGATTTAAAAGCGGTTAAATTAAATGGCAAAGTGTTGGTGGTACATTTTTAAGTTTTTAATTAACACAATTAAAGAATAAATGACAAATTTTAAATTCGGATTTTTTATCCTTGAACGAAAAAAGAGATTCTAGAAGTAAAATAAGTCTAAAAAATTTGAAAGACTTTCAAAGTCAACTAGTTGGTCCGAAATGCCGCAAAGAACAGGGAGGCTAATTAAATTTTCCTCTGTTTTTAACTGTTGCGGAAGAAGCTAAAACTAATAAATAATGGACGAACATCTAGATATTTTTTAAAATACAATTTCTTATTTTTTAAGAGATAATTGAATCTTAACGCTATTTGATTAAAAATTTTCTACTACATATAGGTTTTTTTTTGGCGTAATACAAATTCTCATCTAATTAATAGAACAGCCCAAGAAGAGCCAGTAAAATTTTCAGCCAAGAAATCGAATTAATTGGATTAGAGTTTGTTTTACGTTTTACAGGAATACTAACACAGTGTTTTTTATTTGCTTCATAACATATGCTAAGGATGCGAAGAGTCCACGATGTAAAGCCAGGTTTGTCGTATATTCGGTCCGAATGAAAGCTATTTAGATAGGTGAATCACGACTGCGCATGTTACCTGAGTTTAAAAAAAAGAATAACTTTTAGTTTTAGTTCTAAGATTTTAATCATGATTGCTTATCATGCTAGAGCTTATAATGCAAAGAGTTAATAATATCAGACTTTGAAGCAGTATCCAGTCCAACCAGTATCGGGTAACGGAGGCCTGCAAAATAACTCTTTGAGGCAGACGACAGTGCGTTACTTAGAAGGGCTCACACGTGGGGTCCCCTTTTTTGTGGAGGGGGCTATCGTTCAGAGGAGTTGTTCGTACTAATACCTGCAGCTGAGTTTCATTATCGGACGTCAAAGCAGAATACAAAATACCATCGACGTTCGTCGTTCCACAACTGAGCGTTTTCTAAAGCAGTTTTTGCCGCCCATCACCACTATGTGGAACCAGCTGCCGACTGAAGTATTTCCGAACCAATTCGACTAAGGGTCCTTCAAGAAAAGAGCGTACCAATTCTTTAAAAGGCCGGCAACACACTTGCGCGCCTTCCGGCAACGTGAGTGTCCATGGGCATGTATGCCTATGCTAGGTATCACTAAACATCAGGTGAGGCCTCCAGCAAGTTTGCCGCCTATTACATAAAAAAATTCAATACACGGGGCCCTTGTTGATTTATTTTAATACAGTTTTCTTATTTACTGCAATCTCGTTAAATTTTCTCTTAATATACTTTTTAGTATTTAGGATTATTTTAAATATTTAGTTTTATTGAGCTTTTGCTTATACTTACGTTTCCTGGCAAATTTTCTAGTTCTACATTGAAATTTTTGATGTGTGTGAAGAAGATTGCACCCAAACTCCACTTCGACAAGTTTATAGACCATCCCATCCCATTGCCGACAACAAAGGCCCGTAATGTAATCAATATTGTTTTAAGAAGAAATAAGGTATTTTCTCACACTCTGCGACCGACTGCGGAGGTGCCTGTTGCGCGAGAGTGTTTTGTCTGGGGTGCAAACACCGTGCCTTTTTCGAGGCACGTACACCCCCGCTTCTTTCACTTCCTTGTGCGCCCTAGTAGACACTGCCACGAGTGGGTACTCCAACTATGCGACCTCAAGGTATTGATAAGAGGCATCCTCAAGGAGATGGACTCCGGGGTTGTCCAAACAGAGCTGGCCGAGGGATACCCCGTAAGGGATGTACGGAAGAGTACGATATGGTAAAAAACCTTCTTCAGCGGGGAAGGCGTGGACTTTTACTTGCACCCTCTTTCAACAAGTGTATGAAGTAGTAAGTAAGACTTACCTCTCATGTCGGTCATAGGGATTTCAACTTCGGGATCCTCTTGGCGTTGGCCGGAAGATGTGACAAGATCCTCGTTGGTGAAGCAAATGTTTGTGGCCGAGATCAGCACCTGTTTGAAAAGTTTTAATATAATATTCTTAAACTAACTTTCTAATTATATGAATGCGTCAGGGGTCTAGTGGTCGTCCTGGGTCAGAATAAACAAATATCACGCTATAGGGGTGTATAAAAATTCAGAGTTAGCCCTAACATAGGAAGGTGTTTAAATATCGTCGTGCCTAGGGCGGTCAGGTGAAGCTGTCCATTTGCACTCTCCAGAGATAATTCAGTCACGACCAAAGTCAAAACCCCATAATATCACAACAATTATTATGTGAATTTTGACATTATTCAAGTGTATTCTCTAAACGGTTACATTCCTACCCAGTAACTTCAATAGGACTTTAATTTCGTAATTCTTAGAGACATTTCCATACCTACATATACGCACAACGGTACCGCGTTGGGTTGCATTAGTCGATGAGTACTGCGATTATGTTAAAACTGTAGTTTAAGATTTGATTTATAATACATAAATTCAGTGGCGTAACTATACCATCTGGGGCCCGCGGCCAATTCTTTTGACCCTTTTGACCCTGACCAATTCTTAAATCATTAAAAAGGGTCACGTTGTACTCAGTTTAATTGTAATATCTAAACTTCGAGATTTTCAGAGTACTCAATTACACGTTTTATATGTCCCACTAATGGCCATAAGACTCCTCTCTTAGGCGAGAGGGAATGGTCTGTAGTCCTCACGCTAGCCCAATGCGTATTGGAGACTTCACATTCATTCATAAAACATAATATCTCTTCGGACGGGGGCCCGTGGTATTTTGCCAGCCCTGCCACCCTATTGTTACGCCACTGCACAAATGGATGGAGTTCGTGATTACTTTTGTGAAGCCGTACTTAGGAATTGATGAGTTAAAAAGTTTTTTTAAGTTAATTAAATAGTACTATTTTAGATTCAGTTCAATACTACTACTAATTACTACCCTACGATTGATTGGTGAAAAAATCCATAAAACTATAAATCTCGTCGATCACTTTAGACTAACGTAAATTTGTTCTCATAAAAATATAATGTATAAAAATAAGTACATGAAAAATAAATTACTAGAATTAAAAATTTGGTCAGCTCACGATACTAACGAAGATAATAATAGAAGTCTCTAAGACTCTCAAAGAACATACTTACCTTTAAAATAATGACGAAAGCAGAACCTATTTGGAATGTCACGTTGAGAGCATACTGACGAGATTGCTGCATCATAAGTAGGTAGTCCTGAACCGCGAACAGTGCAATCTGGTTAAATAATAAAACACATTAAACCAACTTCAAAATTTCTACACATTAAACAGATCGATTCTAGGCTGTAAATTTTTGTATGATCCAAGGTGCTAAAGGCCTCATTATTTGTGCCTCTTGTTATTGACTTGACAAAAATAAAGCCATATTCTACCAATTTAGGCTGGATTAAATAGTATATGATAGAAGAAACTTACCAAAAAAGAGAAGCTTTGGGACATTTGATCGTATGGCCAGGTAATCGTTTTGTCTTTTGGTATAATATGTAGACTACCTTTATCAGAAGAACTGTTAAAAAAACACTTAATTAGATAATGTATAATAAATAAATAATTTTAATTTAAAACGGAAATTATCAGTGTGTACGTTCACATATAGGTCGTATATTTTTGGAATTATACAACCATAAAATACAATTCAAATCAATCTGGAACTGTTTCGGCAAAACACCTTTTGTATGGCAATTAAAGTTTACAATAAATTACCAAAAGAATTAAAAGATCTTCCGTCTAGAGTCTTTAAAAAGCGACTTAGTGTATTACTTTTAGAAAAAATGTACTATTCAATAAATGATTATTTGCGTGTAAATTAATTTTACGAATGCAAACAGCACATGGTTCCATCTGTTGACAAAACTACTTTAAATTTTACGTCGAATTCGTGTCAGTTCAAGAAATTCCGAACTAAAGGGGAATGAAGAGATGCATAACCAGGCTTTGATCTTGATCGAAGACATATTGTGTTATTTCATCAAAAAAGGTTGTATATCAGAAAGTGCTTTAACATGCAGTATCGCAATATTGGCACTGGAGACAAGAGTCCTAACGTGTAAAACTGCCATTCTTGAAAAAAAATGTGGTAATGTTATTTATTATCTTAATGAAAGTAACAACGATATTATTAGACTGTAAGGCGGAACGAAGTTAGCCGGGTCACCTAGTACTTAATAAATAAAATTTCATAGTAATCTGCAACCTAGGATTAAATTAAATTATTTACTCTAAACTGTATTGACCATAAATAGTTGTTACGTGTCTATGCTTTGAAACTGAAAAATGGTTCTTCAGAAAGCTAATTTAAAATAAACTTACCTAAAGAAATTACGAGAGTGCCAAAGTTAAACGAAGATATTATGTAGAAAGCCGGTTGGGTTCCGGTCCAGCAGCTAAAAAAAAACAACATTTATTTTAGTTTCAATACGAACAAATTCAGTAATAAACTTTGTTTGATTTTTGAAAAGTAAACGTTCAAAAATCATACAAAAAGAGTATTTGACTAAACTGTTTCACTTAAATATGTCAATTACCATTCATTGAGGTTATGTCCACCTCTCATCAAGGGCAAAGTGGAATGGCGGAGTGTAGTTGCGACTTGCGTGTCTTCCAAATCCATGATATCCAAAAACTGCGCTACTAGTCGTAGTAGTAGTGGAGTTAAAAAACATCATAGCATTCTAAATTTAAATTTAATGAATGATGTTATTATTCAATATTATTTTAAGTTTTATTGCTCAATGCTCGCGCGCTTGCACAAACGAAATTTAGGCATCTTACGGTTCTCAAATATTTTATGGTTGATAACAATATATTGGCAATTTGACGAGACAACAAAAAAATATCATAACTCATTTTAAAACCAAACATTTATTAAAATGCAATTATTAGTGTGGTTGGTGCAAAAAAGCTTTTATGGCGATATTTTCGCGTAACTGTTTGTCAAAAAATATGACATGAGCCTTAATAGGCTTAACATCTTATAAGGCTTTCAGAACATTGATATACAAAAAACCCAAGATGCACACTCAACGTCCAAAAAACGTCCCCAAAAAATGAGCGCAACATTCTAAATTGTGCGCTCATTTCAAATAGTCTCGCGTCGCTCGCGTCTGGGAGCAGTCGTTAAAAATGCCAAAGTGTTCTGTGAGAAATTGTAAAAATATTACGTCAAGAAGGCTAAAAAAGGATGGGATATCGTATTTTCGGTAAGTAAAAAACTTTATTGATTAGTTTTTGTTGTTTTTATGTCTGATTATAACAAGCAATGTGTGATTTTTATTTATTTTTTCTAAAAACTTCATTCAACGCACAAACTTCTATACGGCCAACTTCAATGGCTGCTTGTTCAGTGTTAGAACAACGCATTACAGTCTTCTTTTTATTTTAGTCGCATTATAAAAATGACCCTGTTCTAATAAGTGGAGTCGATTTTTTTTATTTTATATATTATGTGTTTTTTTTTTTAAATAAATTTATTTACTTTAAAAGTGATTTGATTTTTGCAAAAAAATACCATTCATCATTATCGTTTTGAACCAAATATTTGAATAAACAATTTTAACAGTTATTATTTGTTTTTGAAGTTATACTTCTTTAGGCGCGTTATGAAAAATTTATAAGAGTGAAATTTTACGATGCGCGCGCACCGTGACACAAAATTATCAGTATGGACGCCAAGCGTGCGCGAGCGAGATGGGAATAAGACAATCTAAAAGTAAAAAGAGTAAAGTTAGCTATGCTTTTTCACAAAGACCTATTGTTACTTATTAGTTAAAAGGTTATGAAACATGCCTAGTTATTAAATTGAATTAATAATATAATAAAATAATAAATAATAATTATTATTAATATTAATTAATAATTGAATAATATACTAAATATTAAATATTGTTAAATTATTAACGCTAAATATTTATTATTAATTATTTAATATTTAAAAACAATAAAGAAAGCCAAAGAAGTATAAATTCTTACGCGCGTACATAAGTACACGCACCATATTTTTTTTGATGTACCCATAGACTACCCAAAAACATATTTATGCACAAATAAAAGTATATTTATGTGTTTAAAACACAATTTAACAAAAAATACTAAATAGTAATGTATAATGTAAAAAAAAAGTCATATTCGACTCCACTCAATACCTTGTCCTATCGACCACGGTCGGTCGTAAAATGTTATTGCTTTAAGTACACTGCGTTGTAATAACAACTTTAAACAATTCGCGTAAGGTTGATTTTGCAATAATATATGCTTGTAACTTATAGAAAGAGACAGAAATAGTGTTTCGGGACACTTTCGAGCGTTACTTTTATTCGAGACTGTGCATCTTGGGTTTTTTGTATATCAATGTTTCAGAATATGTAAACTAAAATGTATGTATGTAATTATTTAACTTAAATGTATTAAGAATAATAATAAATCTGTTTTAAATTTATGCTGTACGCAATGTTTTTATGTTACTTTCGCTAGAGACAAGCATAGCTGACTAGAAGAATGTGTTTATTAGTTTACCTAATAAATAAATTTAATGATTTTTAGTTGTCAGGTTAATTTTAATCGTATTTGCAAAGTAATACCAGATAAGATCAAATTATTTAAAAACTGTTTGATGTGTGGTACCCGCGTTACTCTCGTGTCACTACCCTCATTAAAAGCTATTACTAATAGGGATGCCGACTCCTACAGAACGTTTATGAATACCAATTATTAGTTACTATATTATATTACTAGTTTGCTGCCAGCGATAAAGGTACATTGCCACAGGGGCCAAACTTTTTAAATTATTTATTAATTTGTATTATTACTATGTAGGTTAAGAATATTCTAAATACTGTATATTTGATTATATTGTCGTTGTTCCTTTATCAAAGTTTGGTAGTTTAAAAATTTTGTGGGGATAGATAAAATCGAAGCTTAAAAGTACGTAGCGATTTTATAGGTTAATTTAGAATTGTTATTATATTTTTTAGTAATTTTTGTTGAACAATAAACCATGATGCATACTCGTCTGATTTAAATCTGAGTCTCAATTGCTTCTATTATAAGTTAAACTCTGTGTTTGAGGAATGCGTGCCAAAAAATTCCAGGAACCTAGGATACTCAAGGTATTTATATCCAAAATGGTACACAAAGGAGGTAATTAAAAAAATTCAACAAAAAACCTCGCTGCATAAGAGATACAAGGTCACTAAATCCCCAGGAGATTACAAAGAGTTTAGTTGTTGCAGAGCTGAAGTCAAGAAATTAATCGCATTGGCTCTTGAAAATTATACTAAGGCTGTTGAATCAAATGTGATTGAAGATCCCAAGTCATTCTGGAGATTTATTAATAGTAACAGAGTCAATAGAGAACCATCGGGTGTTATTGAGAACGGAGAGGTACTACCGCCGGATAGGAGTGTTAAAGCATTTGCCGAGTATTTTAGCTCTGTTTATGTTACGCAAAAGCCAAAGCTTGACGTCAGTGCAGCTGTTGCTGGAGCGGGTTGTTCAAACGGGGCTGCAAGAGTTCACGTTGGGAGCTTACAGTTTAGCGATATACAGGAGGCACTTAAGCGACTTAAGCCACTAAAGGCAGCAGGCCCGGACGGTATACCGCCTTATATCTTGAGAGATTGTGGCGTTGTACTTGCTGAACCACTGCTACACATATATAACCTGTGTCTGAAAGCAGCAACATTTCCCACATGTTGGAAAAGCAGTCGGGTAATTCCAGTTCCTAAAGTAGGATGCCACGATAAAGTAGAACAGCATAGGCCAATAGCTATATTGTCAAGTCCGGCGAAGGTGTTGGAAACTGCACTTCAAAAGTGCATACTTAATCAAGTGAGCTCCCAACTCTCAGAAGCTCAACACGGGTTTCGGTCTACGAGGAGTACCACTAGCAACCTCTTAAATTATATGGCTAATATTAGCCCAGTAGTGGACAGTGGAAAGCAGGTGGACGCTGCCTATTTCGATATTAAAAAAGCGTTTGATTTGGTCGATAACGACGTGCTTTTGCAGAAGTTTGCACAGGTAGGATTCACTCCACACTTATTGAACTTCATGGCTAGCTTTATGGAAGATCGAACGCAATACGTGGAATACGCTGGGTGTAGGTCAGAGGCTTACTTTACGAGATCAGGCGTGACACAGGGCAGTAATTTGGGACCGATGGAATTTATGATAATGCTGAATGACCTACCAAAAGTTGTCAAGAATGCAAAGTGCTTGCTCTTCGCTGATGATATCAAACTATACATGCCCATCGAAAGTACAGACGACTGTATACGGCTGCAGGAAGACATTGATCGAGTGGTAAATTGGAGCAGGAGAAATAGATTAGAGTTTAATTTGGCGAAATGCAAAGTCATATCTTTCTCGAGAGCACGATTTCCCACTCGATACAATTATACTATTAGTGGTCTAACGTTGGCTAGAGTATCAGAGGTCAAAGATCTGGGAGTATATTTTAATGCCAATCTTGGGTTTGCGCAACACGTCGAGAAGACATGCAAAAAGGCATACAGAAATTTGGGGTTCATATTACGAACAGCTTGTGGCTTCACAAATATCAGTGCGATTAAAATTTTATACAATGCATTAGTCAGAAGTCACTTGGAGTGCAATGCAATGGTGTGGGCCCCATATGAGGCTAAATACAGTCTCATGTTAGAGCGAATACAAAATAAATTCACCCGTTACCTCTACAAGAGACTGTATGGAGTGTATCCATTGTATCCGCTTATGTACCCGACCCTGTTTGTTCTGGGTATGGTGGGCTATGACCAGCTACGCCTCAGAAGAGAGCTAGCCTTGTCGGTGTATGTATTTAAGATACTTACGGGTCGGGTTCATAATCTGGACATAATGGAGAGACTGAGTCTACGGGTACCAAGTAGAAACCTGAGGCGGAAGTCTCAACTTTTGGATGTACCGCGCGCACATTCTAACTTGGTTAGCGAAGCACCACTCACGCGAGCAATAATTATAATAAATAGGATTTCTGTTGAGGTAGACCTGTTTGTTTGTACACTGGCTGAGTTCACAAGAGTTGCTTCCTATATTATTAGTTATAAGATTTAGGATTTATATATTTCTTAATGTTTTTTATCTAGGTTAATTGGTGTGGGTGTAAATATTGAGTCGTTCTATCGAATTAGTAATTAGGTACTGTAAAGATAGAATTAGGATATGGAATAAATAAATAAATAAATAAATTTTAATTTATTTTTATAAGATTTGTGCACAATAATTAATAAATCCTACTGCTAGGTGTATTACATGTTTAAATGTTCTGACATGTACGTACAATTGTGTTTAAAATGTCAGACGAAATAAGAATTCAAAATCTACTATATTCTTTTGCAACTAAAATTAACGGGTCGTAGCGGATGAAAGAAATTTGACCTGGATACCTTTAATAACATCTCAAAATAATTATTTAAAATTAAACAAATATACAATAATTAAAATATTTATAACCTATATAGTAATTAAAAAAAATAGAAAATTAGATTAGAAAAAAAAAATAGATTTAAGTTGGCGCCTGGTAGATAGTACCGGTGACCACAGAGCTGGTGCTTTCATCGCTCAATGAATAAGTATCGCAATACAGCGAGGAAATCTTGCCAGCGTTAATGCCCGCCTTCCACTGCGAGCGGAACGGACCCATTACGGACTCCGCTATACTCGTAACGATGATTTTCAATGCCACAAGGACCAAATTTTTAAAATTTGTGTTAATTTTTTTTAAATATATATAACCATTATGTTTTATTATTCATCCCTGTATGTTTTTACTACTATAATGTGGTGGTGGTAAAGGGAAATGAGAGATTTCTTAAAAGGCCGGCAACGCACTCGCGAGCCCCCTGGCATTAAGTGTCCATATATCACTTAACATCAGGTGAGCCTCCTGCCCGTTTGCCCCATGTTCTATAAAAAAAATAGACGTCTCTTTCCCCTTACCTCTCATTCAAGAAACATTTTGTATATCATGCAAATTTCAGTACAGCGCCATCTCGTCGCTTGTAGCATTTGATATTGATTATCGCTAAACACTATAAAAACTGGTTTGTTGCAATGTCATTTACGGATATGTATTAAAGATTTCATGATTAGCTCCTAAAATATGAAATTAAAAAAAGGTTTCAACTAAATTGTTTATGTTGTAAGGAAGTGATATAACATTTAATAACATTTCGCAATAATATCTCGATTTTATTTTTTGATGTAATTATATCAAGAATTTCTGCTTATTATTATAGTGGCCATTATCTGGCCTAACTGGCTTTTTGGCTTGGGGAAATGCTGTTATGCTCCCCTCAACTGCGCGATTTTATGTGTGGACATGTGGATTGTGAGACTCAATTACTGAAACCTACCCACTAAAAACCTACGAAGCTATCATAGGCTGAATAGGCATAATATGATATTAATAATCGTAATCATCAACTTGTCTATTAAGAAAATTAATGAAGATAAAACAGATACAGAAATCTGGGGCCAAACCGTTGTAGCACCATTGTTTTTATTTTATACATTTTTGTACGAAGTACTTGAATTGCGTATTTGGAACTAAATGCAAGCAGGAATATAGATCAAATAGAATTAATGTTTTGAAAATCGAGAAACTTTATTCGTACTAAGTACTGAGATAAATATATATAAAATTCAATGGCGTTTGTGTTTATTGCAGCTATAGCATGAATTCGCGATGCACAGCGTTGACTAGAGAGTGAAGTAAACACTACGCTCCAGAGTTCCCAATCACATAAGACAGAACAATATAAAAGTCGGAGAATTAACCAAATTAATACAAATTTCGATTACATTCATGGCGAATTTGAATAATTATTTGAGGAGTTCATTGCTTTCAAATGACGTGTATTAAGTTTTAAAACGCTTAGCGAATAGATTTTTTTTGTTAACAGCTTTAACGAAGTATAATCGTTGGGAACCCTATCACTGGGGTCTTTGCAAAGATGCCGTTTCCCTAAATCAATCCCATCGAAACATTTTACAATAGACATTACCACTATAAAACCATGCTTTAAAAAATATGAGACTCACCTTTCCGTGTCTTCTAAGTAGAAAATGCGGATCATGGAATAAACCGCCACGATAACTGCAGGCATGACCCATCCTATAATGGTGAACAGCAACAATGACTTCTTCATCCTGGACTGCACCTATAAAAAAAAAAAAAAACAACGGGAGCACTCCGGGAGTGCCGGCAGAAGTGAAAACTTCAATATTAACGTTGTGTTTAATTATAAGTATAAAAGTACTATCATTTATGAGGTAGAATACAATGTTTATTTATTGCGCTATCGTACACAAATATGACAATTTATATGTTGTTATTTATAATATTATATCGTTATTTATATATTACATTAAATTTTATCTCTCAGAAAAATCAACTTCCATCCATAATTTCGACGACTTTTACACCTTCGTTATTATCAGAATCATCATCGCAAATTTTTACAACTGATACAATTGGTTTATGATAACTGAAGTAAGAAACAAACAGTTTTGATTCGAACCTATTTAAGTGTCTAATAAAGACCGTACTCATTTGCTTTCACTACTTCATCATCACTTTTTTCATTAATAGATTCACTTTGTTCGATTTCCATAATTTAAACAATTCACATTTACGAATACACAACAGTGTATTTACTACACAACAGTCAAGCAATCAGCTGTCACCATCCTTGGATACGCGTGGGACGCTGTACATAAACACACACGGTCATTCGCGCAAGCGCCCTGTGCCGCCTAAACAGAGCAGCACACTCAGGCACGGTAGAAAGAGTGGGAGATACTAGTTCCTCTCCCTTCCCCTCGATCTTACGCTTTTTCGATCAGCATCACGTGACCCTGACGCAAGTTTGAAAGTTTTTACCCATACAAAAAGTGCTCAGCGCCGCTAAAGAAGTTTTCACTTCAAAAATAAAGGCTCTCTTACATAAAATGTAGAAAACTCGTTATGGCATTTGAAGGGTACAGGGAAAGAAGGATCATAGTCAGTATTTTTCCAAACCAGAGTTGACAATGCCATCTAGTAGTAAATTAAGAAAGCTATTGAATGGTGAAATCATAAAATGTTAAAAGAAATCACAGTCAACATGAGGCTCAAGAAAGTTTACTATGGCTGTAGGAAAAAAAGATCACAGTCACCTCTCTTGTTTCAAAAAGATCATTGTCTATGGACACTGATCTTTTTTTGACACTTGTAGTATGACAGATTACAGTAGTCTGATCTGTGGCCTGGCTTTATGAAGTTTATGTTTTGTTAAGTTAAAACAGGTATATATTAAAACTAAGTAATTAAAATAATAAAAAAAACATGTCATTCAGAATATGTATTAAGCTGTAAATTTAGTGAAAAATTCATAAAAAATGACCATGTTAAAAGGATCATAGTGACTTTGATCTTTGTTATAAGTAATTTAATTAAAGATATAAGTTTTTTTAATTTGTCATAAAAAAAACATTTAATAATGTGTTTTATAATGTGAATCATTGGCCTACATGTCCTATATAAAAGTGTGTACTTTAGTTGTAGTTTAATAAATTGATTTTAAGAGTAAATATGTTTTTTGTAATTATCTCAAAAATATTTTTTCTTGACAGTGATCTTTCTTTCCCTGTACCCCTCATTTCTTTATAATTAAAGTATATCGTTGCAACATAAGGAAAATGTAAATAATTAAGAAACCCATTTTTCCATACAAGTACATTGAGGTAAAATGACTCGATAAATTTAACACCATTGCAAATTCATTCATACTAGACGACTATCAAAAACCGTAACGCCGCGCATTGGCGTTATGGGATAAAAACAAAGGGTAAAGGGTATTAAGAATTCAATATACATATATATATATATGTATATTATATATATATATATATATTATATATATATATATATATTATATATATATATATATATCAATAATAGAATTGATTAGTGTTGCCATAAAATTCAAAAATTCAAAAATCATTTAATCACACTTATGACTTGTCTGTAAAGAAATACATATAAATGCTTCTATTTTACATTTAGTGCCAGTTCTCAAATCAAGGGCGTAGAACGGAAGAGAAGAACTGGCAATAAACTCTCCGCCACTCTTTTTAATCGCCATGTTTTTTTTTTTTACACAACGTTTGTAAGGAGCTGCAACCATTAAACTATGTTCCACATGACATCTTAAGTAATTAATAATAATAACATAAATTAAAAACAAAGAGTTGTCCTCTATCAGCAGGAGGCATGGTGAAATAGGAGCACGCACTTACATTCTGGTGGGAACAACACGCAAACACACATAGTTAATAAGGTCAAGGGAAATACTGATAGCACCAATTATTTTTTTGTATGTGCGCATAGAATAAAAGTTGCTCATGCAGGCAAATGTCATGAGAAAGCCTGCATGTCGTAGACCCAAAAATCAACGACAAGTGTCAGGCACAGTCGGCCACCTACTTGTTTATAAGAAAATAAAATCCAAATCATATTCCCCTAATTGTTCATGTTTTATACTTACGATAGCAACCTCAAGGTAGATGTATAGGGCCTCGTTAAACAGCCAGAAGTGACTCGCCAAGTTAGAGTAATTAGTGAGGTTGTTTAATATCTGGCACCATATCTGTTAAAAGAAGAAACACCATTACCACAAACAGTTCAAAGGTTTGAGTTGAAGCGACTTGAACATAGGTTAGCTTTTATATAATGACAACAGTACTCGAGAACTTTGTAACAAGAGCTTTCAAAGATTTTCATTCACATTTTACTGTTTTTTTTTTTTAAGGGATTATCTAATTAATGGTCCTGAAAGGAAGAATATAACACAACAAATAATACAAGCGTCAAACAAAGATTGAATTATGTGATTGTGAGCGTGTCAACGCGTGTTGATGTTAATCGCAAGCCGTTAAGCTATATGCTAGTTAAAGTCGATTGTATTAAAGAAATATATTAACTTACCGGGTTAAATAACACCACTGTTGGGTCCCGAATCACGTTTATATACCATGTCATAGACATGATGTTTTTGAACAAATTAGCAAAGAAAAAGTTGACATGGGTCTTCACGCGAAACCAGCGATCGTTCTTCCTATGAAGAAAATTCATTTGTTAGTCATAGTAAAAATTAAATTGCAACATCTATTACTACATCTTATTCCTAAAGGTGTGGCCAGAGACTAAAGAGGGGTGAGATTATAAAATGAAAGACTAGACGACAGCAAGTTTAATTTTTTTATGATCGACAACATGTCTGGTCCAAGCACAGATACGTGACAGTACCAATTACAAAACAATCGCGCCTTGGTTTCGTCTTTTATTTGACATTTTCACCCACAGAAATTATCTCGATACAAAGCAACAGGCTTTATATCTCTGCTTGAGTCTGATGTAGTATGTAAATTTAAGGACTATTTCATACCGTCAATCAAAAATCTCATTTCAAGCGCTATACAGACAATATTGATTTGAGAGCGCTCAAGACAAGATTGTGGATTGAGATACAATTTAGAAGACCTAAGACTACACTATCACTATCGTATCGGTCGGATTGAATTTTTAACGCTTTTAAAGTAACTAACGTAAGCGATGTCAAATACAAAATGGAACGGCAAGCTATTGAAGGCATTGGAAATATCTAAAGATACAATGCCTTCCCTCTGTGAACTATCTCCATGGTTACTCCTTTGGGTCAATAATTGTTGCAATAGTCGATTGACCAGCCCTAATCTCGTATTTAGCCTCAATGGCCCTAAAAATGTGATAGGCGCATAGCTACAATTCTTTTTAAGCTGTTGCCAGCCTCATTAAGGAAGATAATTGGGCTGTATGTTGATGGGGAGTCCATCAGAATTATATTTACGAAAACAAAGTAGCTTTATTTCGTCGAACCCCTGTAATTGTCCCGTTAGATATTCAAGGGCAATCGCTAAAACCCGACCGTGGAGTCTATCTGGACTAGGACCTCTTCTTCGATCTTATCTCGGATAACTATAGTATTCATTGCCACGTCGGTAATCAACAGAACTTCTTTATCTATTTCAATAACGTTTGCATCAGCCACTAGGAGGAAATGTCAGAGACAGTAAGGCAAGGAAATCAGGTACAACTAGGCAATAAAATCTGATTCGAGTGTTTCCGTTCGACCGACCAATTCCCTGCATTTTATTCCGTACCAACGGCCGTGCCCATGAGAACCATAAGGGTTTCTTGAAGATCCTAATCAAAACGCATCTAGCATTAGACTAAAGTTATCTTTAGCCTTGGTTATAGCTAGATAGATGGATTTTTGTACTCCATATTTATAGAGTGATGTTGTTCTTCTTCATCTTGGACGAAAACTTTCGTATTGCGCTATTGCACACTTGTCTGTCTCTGCTGCATGAAAGATATCTGTTACTGCCGGTCAAAATCGACCAGCTCCTTCATCAGGATCTTCACAACTTTTGACTATGAAAGAATCTTCCACTTTTTTGACACTACTTAGAATCCAGTGCGGAAAATGTCGCAGTGGTCTTTGCGTCACCGAAAGATAACAATTGTATCTATGGCCTATAAGAGTTTCCATGACTTCTACAACTTTCCAGTTTCATACTCTAGAGAGAGAAGAGCATGTAAGATAAACCACGGATTTACCGTGGAAGAGATCCTCTGTTAATTGAAGGTTGTCCCAACCTTGCTAACCATTCCTCTAAAGCACCTCCCTGCTGAGAGATTTTAAATAGAACTCAAAATCGGCGACAAGTGCTCGCAGACGTTTATTATCCGCCTGAAAGCGGCAAGTCATCTACACGATGGAGCGGTAATACAAGCATTTATACTAAATCCTCCAAATATTTTGCTGCCATATACAGATCGTTAGCATAAAGTTCAGTGCGGCTCCCAGGACATTTCTTTTAAAGAAATCGTGTCAAATCAGCTGAGGGTGCCTTGAACAAATACAGCTTTTTACGTCTTCCATTTTTAAGAATAACCAGTAATTATACCAACAAAAGAAAACATATCAGACAAAAATAAATCTAAAGCAAAATACACAAGGAATAGGCAATTAGTCCAAAGATACCTGAATTTAATAAACGTACGATTTAAACTATCCACAAAAACCAACCATGGAGATTGTTCAGAGGAGTTTTTGGAGCCGAGTTTCATCGTCGGACGTCGAGGCAGATCACGAAATTCCACCCGTATAACCTCGACGTCCGTCGTTCCACAACTGAGCGTTTTAACACGTTCGCTGCATTACGAGATCTATCAGATCTCTTGCAGGACTTTTGTATTGTGCGTTGAGCATAATCGTGTTTTTTCACTCCTTGCGGGAGGATCTAACTTGTAAAGTTCTTTAAGTATGAGCAGGACAAATATACATATTTGCTTCTTACTTAAAGCTGAGTTAAAGGACATTAAAAAATAAATTAGAGATGGATTAGGTCCCTAACGCACAGTACTTTAATTGTTTTAATTCCTTGCGTTAGGAGATATGTCGGTACTCGTAAAATCGTACGCCTCGTAGACGCAAGAGAGGGAGGATGGGCGGCGCGGGCGCTGCGTGACTCTTTTTAGTGTTGTTCAGAATCGACATGGGAAGTCGATAAAAATGTTGGAAAATGTCCAAATTTGCCCCCCATTGGCTGATAATGACAGTGATTCTGATTATGAAATATTTGACGTACCTACAAAGAAAACGATGAACCTTTTTCGTTGGAGCACACGCAATTAAGCAGCACTGACGCTGCTAAAAATCTAAACGAATTGTTATACTTTTGCGCGTAATGTGCAAGCAATCTATGTGCTTACCATGTTTTAGTGAAAAACACTTTGCATAATTAATAAAACTTTTAGAATCGATAACTGAGATATTATTTTATTCCCATCACTACTTACTACACATATTGAACTATCTTCGGTTGCGGTACGAGATACAATCGATATCTATTTTTTTTGGTATTTGTAGTTTATTCAAATGTCGTAATTGCGTGCGAACCTAGCAAAATATAAAGCAATAAGCTATCTTTCACCTACAAAAACTTCAAAATATATGTCTATTTTTTGGAAGATATAAATTATTTTCAAAACTGTATTTTTAGGAGACTGATTAGATCTCAAACGCACCAAAGAATAGGCTTGTTTAGAGATCTTTTAGGTCTCCAAATGATGGCGCAGTGAACGTGTTAAGGATTTTTTGCCGCGCACCACCACTATGTGGAACCAGTTGCCCACTGAAGTATTTTCGTACCAATTCGACTTAAGGTCCTTCAAGAAAAGACCGAACCAATTCTTAAAAAGCTGGCAACGCACTCGCGAACCCTCTGGCATTGAGAGTGTCCTCACATCAGGTGAGCCTCCTGCCCGTTTGCCCCCTGTTCTATATAAAAAAAGAGACAACTTACCGAAAAACTCCGAAAATCAAAAACATCATAACCATGATAAGTGACGCGAGGCCGTAAGAACCCAGGTAGATAAAGTGTCCAATGTTCCGCACCTGTAATCACACCAATTATTAACTCATCCATTTTCATTGTTTGGTTTTTTAACAGCAAAAAAATGGAAACATTTGTTTTGAAGTTATAATGCGGGTCGAGGGAAATGCCAATCCGATCAAATAGTGACAAAATTCATTATTTACCATGAAAGCTATATATACTATGGGGATTTTAACAAAATTACACAATCAGGCGGGAGTTTGTAGTTTATTGTTTATCAGAATGCCAAATCGTAAAATGACTGCTTCTCGACTGATTTGAACGCGACCGCCGCTGCGAAAACCGTGAGAGTTCGAAAAGTGAGTTACAGAATCGCAAGGCAGGTTTGAAAATAGCCTGCACAATGACAAAAAATCATCATGTTCTTTTAATACGTATCTGCTTTGCACAGAAATTTTAAGAAGATCCTTCATTTTTAACGGATGTGCCGCCAGTACTACTCTCTCATACAAAATTAATTCCCAAATATTAAAAATTTCTTGTAATTCACCCGTCGGATGTTCAAGAACAATCGCTAGAATCCTACCGTGTGGTGTACACGGACTAGGAGCCCTTAAGCGTAACTTATTACATAATTATATTATTGTTAACGCAAGGAAAGGCAAGGTTGTGTTTTTGAAGTTATACTTCTTTTGGCGCGATAGGGAAAAATGACGAGAGTAAATTTATACGATGCGCGCGCATACATCACAAGAAACCGACAACCTGAAGTTAGCTATAGACAAAAAAAAAATTATACTACTATTGATGCTGTATTTGTACGATATTTGGACAATGTTTCTACAAGAATATTTGTATCATACTTTAGCTATCATAGCCTCTTGTAACTCACATATCAACTGAACACCAACCAATGGACGTAAATTAAATAGTCGTTAAATAGTAAATATCAATAAGTATGTAACTTATTGATATTTACTAAATATATATATAATATAAGATAATAAAAAATGTCCATTCCTTTAATTATTTAGAAATATTTTTTATTGATATTTAAATAAACTGCATTTAACTAGATACTGCGTGCAATAAAACTTTCAATGTATTAAATAACTTATTTCTATTTATGGTGTCGTTTCTTCTACAAACGTAATAACATTTTTGAAAAGATTTTTATCTTGTTACGCTAAAGAAGTATAACTTCTACCGCGTGTAACATAATAGTTAGGGAGCTGGCGAGCAAAATTTCTAAATGATCAGCACACATGGCAGACGTTATTAATAGTGATAATTATAAAGAAACATGAAAAACCTCGTCTGCCACCATGGTGACGCTGCGTTGTCAATTTACAGCGTTATTTTCAGGCTCTGTCTTTTGAAGTTTTCAATTTTTAACTTTTTTTTATGATTTAAAAATCTCTATATGAAGTGCACACTTGGCAGATTGTAATTGTTCGATTAAAAACAATGAGAAGGACCACAGAAAAATAGTCTGCCAGCATGTTACCTCTGCGTTCGCTATTGACAGCGTTACAAAAATGTAAAAAAAGTGCTATATTACGCGCACATGTCTGCCTCTTGGATTGATGATTAAATTTCTTATGAAAACCAAAACCTCGATGAGGCAGACGTCCAGGCCTCTGATATTTCAAAGGCATACCATTTGATTTTTTTTTCGCAGCTGCTCCTGCAGTAAGAAATTGGTTAGTTTAGATCCCGGTCTGCCTTTGGCTCACCACGCCGAAATGGAAGAGCCAGAAAAACGTTGTGTTTTTTGTCACAAGTCTTGAGCAACATAATTTTATTCAGTAATGAATCGAAAAAAAAAACAGAGAGCAAAATGTCTGCCACTTGTTTTTTCGTATCCACGGATTGATAATGAATCGAATGCGCGCAGTGAGAACCGTGTGCATTTTACTTGGTAGAGCTTTTTTTAACACTTCAACTACTCCGTCCTATGATAATGCAGGGGGAATGTCTGCCTCTTCGATTTTCTTCTTTTCCAAGATGTTTGTGACCATGAACCCCAGAGGCAAACATGTGCAAATGATTTTTTATCCCCCTTTTTTTAAGCAACTTCAATGCTGTAACGCGAAAACGCAGCGACGTAGGACCTTAATTGACTGGACCAAATCAATTCGTATTGACGTAAACTGCAATCTACCTCGATGTGAAACTTGTGCAAATCATATACCTAAATGCTCACCAGCTCCCTAACTATAAGTTAACGTTTTTTATTTACGCCTGAAGCTACGCTATGGCAAACACAGGTTGCAAATTGGAAACTAATTAGCAGATCTTACATAGAAAATTTAATTAGCATTTGCTACTTCTTGTAACGATTTAAGAATTCATAACATTTCACAACTCTTCTAGAAATGATGCAACTCAGTCATATACTAGGTTCAATTAGGCGGTATATGTAACGAGATTTTAAATTTATTATTTATTATACTTGGTTTCTCTTTAAAGTCTGCAGAACTAAATAAACGCGCAATCGCAAAATTTCCGATCATATAGAGCAGTGTTGGCCTAGTGAATTCACTTGGCGACTCTTATCCCTGAGGTCGTAGGTTTGAACTAATAGACTTTCTGTTTACATAGATGGCGTGTGTCTGACATATAAGACCTACTAAGAGAAAAAAAACAAATGAACCCGAAACAGATTCAGTTATCTCTGGCCCAAACCTAAAAGGTTGTTAATGTCACTAGTTTTTGATCGTCCTATCAGTGATGCTGCACCACCACAGGGTAGCAGCGTTAGCGCAATCTAGTCAAGCAATATTGTAACTCATGGCGCGCCAGATTTGTTCTAGTTGGGGAATTATCACACGGGATCTTCTTGAAAACTACATAAATGGACTTCTGCGTTTCTAACTGGATAATGTTTTACAGGCTACGATTCCTCACAGTGGCATTATATATTACTTCAAATCGAGAATTATGATTTTCACTCCATATAACAATATATTGCTTTATATGCTAAGTGCGTAAAGAGTGCCGGCGATTGTTTCTCTCAATTCATTCTACTGACTTTTAACAATAGGCGTCCTACTAAATGTTTTATAGTTGACACTGTACTAATGCTATATACGTATGTGTTAGTACTTACGCCTAGATCCTCATCACTAGTTAAGCAACTAGTGTAATTGGTCGGGTCTAACCAGACCCCATCAGATCCGCACCTGTTAAAGAGTAGTACGTTAAGTGAAATACTCCTTAAAATTAATATATGTCGATGGCGTTTTATTTGCGATTTCGATCTCCGTAGCGCTGACGTTTAACCCTTGGCTTACGGTATAAGAAGTTTTAAATACAGTCGGCATAAAGTTACGATTCCAACAGTGTGCTAAGGTGTGCGACAGTGTTGCACAGCGTACGGGACAAATGTTTGTTTTGGTCGACTCACTCGAGGGATCAATAACAAATTGTACGCGAATATTTTAGCGAAGTTGCGCACAAATTTACACTTGCGTGCGCGCAGACGGTACAAATAGTGTACTCGTGTCGATGCGCACACACTCGTTGTTCGCGAATTCAGTCTTGCTTCCGCTACCAAAGCGAACACATTTAATTGTGCACGCACTATGCCAAGTAATATTTCTAATGATCAAGAATATATAACCAAGCATAACTAAATGTTGTGTACACTTGTTTTGATGCACATGCATGTATCTTGTTTTCTATGTCATGTGTTCTCTGTAAGTGTTTGTATGTGTTTCGTTAGTGTGCAAAATAAAATAAAATAAAATAACGTTTTCCTGCCCATCCATATTAGCAACTGTCGGCAGAAAATCTTCTCAGTGAACAAGTTCGTCAACAAGTGGTGGAATCGTACCTTAACAATAGCTATAACTATTGTAAGTTGTCCAATAGGTATAATTAAATGTATGGCATGTGTGTCACATGAATTAATCAATGATGCAAATCTTACAAAAGAATATAAAATGGGATACCTTTAACAGAACGAAACCATAAATTGCTTGTTGAGATAAATCAACGTCAATTCCACACATATATATAGAATAGTATTTATGTAGTCCTCTAAAGGCTCAACCGTTTGATACAACTACCAACCAGCTTCCCTCATAAACAATTGGTTGAATTAAAGGACATTGAGTCAAGTAAGTCCTAAAGCATAAAAAGATAATTTCTATACATAAAATAATCGTTATACAGAAAGTAGATCGACTCATTTGTTACGACAGGTTACCCTAATAATTTGAAAAATGCAGAAAATCCTTTGATGTCGACGACTTCTTTAGTTCAAAGTTAGCGCGCCGCACTTCGCTTGGTACTTTGCACTTTACATATGTACGAATGGATCTGCCTTTTGTGTAAAGAAGAAGAAATTCATATACGTAGGACTTTGATAAAAAGTTTATTAACGTTAAATTTCATCCTGCGAGGAAACTATTTAAAACAAAGTTAAATCGCTTCTCAATTCTAGGAAATTTTTCCGGTACACATAACATCTTTGGTGCACTAATACGGAGTTCATAATAGTTCATAGTTCTGGCGCTTTGCTGAGGAGGTTTTAGAGATGTTGAGAATTATCGAATGTTAAAAACAGTTGTTTTCATAAAATTCAAATTTTGTATGGAAATTTTATTGTAGTTTTTTTAGCTATACAGGGTGGCCAAAAAGTCGTGGATCAAACGCAAATAGGGGATAGATGAGATCATCAGCTGCCAAAAATTGTTCTACGGGAAGTATCTAAGCTCAACCCCTGCAGAGTTATAATTTATTTTGCGTTTTTATAAGAAAATTGACTTTTTGTTTACTAATTCTTATTAAAATTCGAAAAAACTAATCTTTTTCATAATATCCACTAGATTGGTACTGATGAGTCCTTGCCTTAGACATACTATTTATAGTTGTTTATTGAGTGTATTGAAGATAATATAAAGTTATACGATTTAAAAAATTCTCAAATCGTCTCTCTTTTTGTTTACGTCAGACCCCATTGTGAAAAAAATATACTCTACCGAAATGTGACCCTGTATTACATGTTTTGGCGAATTTAATAGGGATTTTGAAAAGATCACATGGCCTAAGTCGCTCTAATATCTTTCTAATACAGGGTCACTTTTCAGTAGAGTATATTTTTTTCACAGTGAGGTTTTAAAAAATGTTATATCATATAACTTGATATTATCTTCAATAAACTCAATAAACAACTATAAATAGTATGTCTAACGCAAGGACTCATCAGTACCAATCTAGTGGATATTATGAAAAAGATACAGGATGTAGATTTTTTTCAAATTGTAATAAGAATTAGTAAAAAAAATCAATTTTCTTATAAAAACGGAAATAAATTATAACTCTGCAGGGGTTGAGCTTAGGGACCTCCCGTATAACAATTTTTTGCAGCTGATGACCTCATCTATCCCCTAGTTGCGTTTGATCTACGACTTTTTGACCATCCTGTATATTGAGCAAATCGGAATCCGACGGAATATCTTTTTTGCATGCTCTATGTGAATTTATTCGATAAACTAGGGCCTTTTAACTCGCTCTAGTAATACTATTTGGGATTTTTATCTCCACAGAGTAAAAGTGGCCAGCGCACCGCGCGGTTCATAGTTTAATTATAAAAACGCAAGAATAAATACATTTATTTGTTTAATTTCTAAGAAATAAAGTTTCGTATAAAATGTCAAAAGCCATCCAGATCTGGTTTTAAAGCAAAATCTTTCGCTACAGTAAACAATCATTTAGATCACCAAGCAGGGTGCCGTTTAGGCTCATACGATACCAGCATTAACTACAGTTTTGGAAAACAAATAATTCGATACACACTATTTACTCTGACGGAATTCGCCGATTTGTTCAAAAATTCTAGAAGAAAAAGCTGTAGAAGCGGAGGTTAAACAGGTCGCATCAGATCGGATTGTGGCCATACGACTGTCCAGGTCTGTATAAACAGGTATGGACATCACAAAAGTGTGCTGACAAAAAGAGTTAGATATTATAATAGAAAAAAAACTATTTTATTAGATTACAGAACTTTTAATTAACTATATTCGATTATAGGATTTTTTTAAGTTATTAAAATGGAAGAACTATAATCGCAACCTCTGTTTTTTTCAAAATTTTACATTATTGCTTTCATAATATATACAAAATACCCATGTTATTGAACAAAGCTTAAGCTAACAGTTCCTGATGTCCTTACCTATCTAAATGGCGCATATGATATGGGAATTCGAACAACAAATATTCATATGTACTTACGTTTTACTGGCAGACTTCATCAAGTCGAACCCAATCACGTAGTCTGGGCATGGCTCTTGTACGGTCTGCCCGACCATGGCTTCCTTCCAGCATTTAAAGCCATCGAAATGATTAGGACAGACCTGCTTAACCGCTGAAACAAAAACACTCATGTACAACCTGGGTTTTATGTTTAGAATTTAACCATTTGACAAATTGTGTCTTATGAACAATAAAAATAGAAAATTTTAATAAGTATAGCATTATCTATAAATTAGCAATATACGTCGTAACACTGAAAATGTTCACTGGCCAGTTAGAAACTTTACCAATGAAAACGTTTTTTGAATTTCAATTTTAGAACTATTTGGTAACGTATATTGCATTCATTTGTCATTTGTTTTTGTAAATTGGCGGCAAATCTAAAACTCTTGTTACACGTGAAAATATACCTAACGTGAGAAAATTTTCGGTCAATGATTTATTATGACTTTCGCTGTGATCTTACTCAACAACAAAGCAATGATAGGCTGCGATTAGCATTTCGTAATGAAGCCCCATTTCGTGCCGCTATTTTACGCTACGAGTTTAAGCGTGAACGTAGCAATCTCAATGATGATGACGTCCTTTAACAGCGACTTCTGAAGATAACATCAGTGCTGTGCGACGCATCATAGAGGAAGATAATAGAGTGACCCATCAGCAGAAACGGGCAAGCCTTGGCATTGGTATGAGTCAATTTAAAAAAAAAAGTGTGTAGACTACACAAAGTACACATGTCAGAAGTGAAACTTCTGTGGCAAACTAATCTCTAACTGTTGTTCATATATTTATAATAATCTAAATGTTTAGATTTCCGATACTTAGAGCGACGGAAAAAGGAAGATATGTTGGGAATTTAATGAATTTAATTGTCAATAAAATATTAAGTATCGAATAAAAAGTAATAAATAATAAATAATAAATAATAAATAATAAATAATAAATAATAAATAATAAATAATAAATAATAAATAATAAATAATAAATAATAAATAATAAATAATAAATAATAAATAATAAATAATAAATAATAAATAATAAATAATAAATAATAAATAATAAATAATAAATAATAAATAATAAATAATAAATAATAAATAATAAATAATAAATAATAAATAATAAATAATAAATAATAAATAATAAATAATAAATAATAAATAATAAATAATAAATAATAAATAATAAATAATAAATAATAAATAATAAATAATAAATAATAAATAATAAATAATAAATAATAAATAATAAATAATAAATAATAAATAATAAATAATAAATAATAAATAATAAATAATAAATAATAAATAATAAATAATAAATAATAAATAATAAATAAAAAATAATAAATTGTGCGTGTACTAGGTGTACACACGTAAGAAGTGAAACTTCTTTATGATCTTATTTTTCGAATTAGAATAGAATAGAATTTCATTAATTGTAATAGAATTATTACTATCATTGAAAAACTTGACGATTTGCTACAAAATTTCTCCCATACGTCGATAAAGAAGTTTCATTCCAACGCCGATAAAGAAGTTTCACTTCAAAAAAGCAACATGGCGCGTATCCGAAAAACGTGACGATTTTGTACAAAATTTCTCCCATACGTCGATAAAGAAGTTTCAGTTCAAAAATATTACACGAACATTTAGGCGTCAGGAAGCTTTGTACCAGATGGATTCCCTATACTTTAACCGACGACCAGAAACACCTTCGCATGGACTGGTGTCGCTGGTGTAAATGCTAGATAAGTTCAACGGCGGTGAATCTAAACATGCTGTATATGACATCATTACAGGTGATGAAAGCTGGATATATTGTTACGAACCCGAAACCACAAAACAATCAGCTCAGTGGGTGTTTCCTTTCCAAAGAAGAAGTCAAGGAAAAAAGATTATCGCCTCATCCTTTGGTCGGAAAGATCATTTCGCGATAGTTGTGATAGAAGATGGAAAGACAGTTACTGCAGACTGGTATGACAATCGCTGTTTTGTCTTGGAAAAAATTCGACAGCAGCGCCCTCGAAGCAGGATCCTCCTTCACCACGACAATGCTTCAGCGCACTCCGCAAAACGGACTGTTGAATATTTGACTATGGCAGGTGTCGAGATATTGAGTCATCCGCCATACAGTCCTGACCTGGCGCCCTGCAACATTCATTTAATCCCAAGAACTAAAGATAAAATTCGAGGTATTCGCTTTACGAGCCCTGAAGATGCTGGGAAAGCGTACGAAAATGCCATAGAAGAGACCCCTAAGGAAGAATGCCCAATGCTTTTCTCAGTGGTTCCATCGAATGCGACGTTATGTATAGAGGAACGGAGATTACTTCGAACAACAAAAGTAATGGCAACTTTCTACATTAGGCTGTTTTTCATTTTCTAAACATTTTCAGTGTTACCTAGGTATAAGCTACAAGCTCGAGTGAAGTAATTATTAGTAAAATTGCTTGAAATTATTTATAATATTCTCCAAGAATGTCTCTGGAATTTCGATAATATATAAAAAAATTTAGGTTTGAAATAAAAATAAGTGACGGGTTTTAATTATTGTGCTCTCCAATGGATCTAAGTAATGCGTTTAAATACAACAAATACCTTATTCAATATTAAATTGCACATATCGTCATAGCTGTAGAATAGCGACGGATCTGACAAATAGTAAAGTTAACAGGGCAGCCATTTCAAAATAATATTAAAATCATGTTAGTTTTTGTCATAACTATTTTAATTCATATTCTGTTATTATAAAATTGGCATAGAAGCAAACAAAAGATTTTGTTTTGAAACAAAATAAAAATAATAACATTAATTTACACATTTCTCTAGAAAAATCACTGATTCTATCAAATCCGTCACTTTACCGACTGATTAATTTGAAATTTAAAACATAGATTTTTTTTTTAATGTAGCCGTAATATTTAGTCAATGTAGTATCCAAATATGATAAAAAGCGGATTTTGGATTTTTTCGAATCCGACATTGTTCTACGATCATCACGATATATATTTATCATATAAATTCTTCATAGCAAAACGATGTAAATCGACGTTTAATTGTTCCGAATTTCTATAAAACAAAAATAATTTAAAAAAATACAACTTACCTCTCACCGGCTTGGACAATCCTTTGTAACACACATCTTTAATTTTTACAGCATTAATTCCCTTCCAAAATTTCGGGTTAGAGTAATTCATGATGATTACCTAATAAAAATTTTTATGAACGATATAATAAAAATCAATATACACTAAATGCTTATCAGATACGATTATCCAAGAGAATTAACTTTTCCCGCCTGTTTCGTCGTTCATTTCTCTAAATATTCGCGAAAAGGAACGTCATTCCGCCGCGGTAACGCATCCCGACTGAACCCTTGCCATTAAATCGGTGCCTGACTGAAATTTCTTTTGGTCAAACTGCCAACTGTATTAAGGTTTCGCTTTGTAGTCTAGTCGACAAGTTGAAAATGGAACAAAATAGAGATACTGCTCTTAAAATTATGTGCGATAGCTCATTGGATCCGGAATTACGTCTAGAAAAATGTGCTAAAAGCGTGTATTAGCACATAAAAAATTGCAAAAGTTATAGACAATTAAAGATGAAAAAAAAATGGCATTTAGTTTTTCCTTAATAACAATTTTTAATTGTTTATAATCGTTTTTTTAATTTTCTATTGTTTAAATAATTAGTTAAGAAATTTATTAAATAAATAAATTAATAAATTAATGTGCCGTAGTCGCTTTTGACGCCACGCGCGAAACCTAAAAATTTCACCCGCAGACCTATTTTCAGCGTTAAATTAAAATTATAAATAATGGAGATAGAGTTCCCGGAGTTCGGAGTTTTTTATTGGAAATTTCCCCCTCTTTCAGAATCTTTATTTAAAGTTTCTTAAATATTAATAGTTTATTAAATATTGGCAAAAAACTAAATGCCATTTTTTTTTCATCTTTAATTGTCTATAACTTTTGCAATTTTTTATGTGCTAATACACGCTTTTAGCACATTTTTCTAGACGTCATTCCGGATCCAATGAGCTATCGCACATAATTTTAAGAGCAGTATCTCTATTTTGTTCCATTTTCAACTTGTCGACTAGACTATTGACTTAACTGGCAATATCTACTAATGAAATAATCATTGTTTCTTTAGATATGCAAAGACCAAAGCATTTTGATTTTTTTAGTAATAAAGTAAATAATTCCTCAACATCTCACTATCGTATTTTTTATATCTCATGCCAATGTGAAATTAACTTTTGAATTCTTTTGAATAAATTATTAATTGAATTTCTGATTTTTTATATATTATGCCAATTCCTAAGTGTGATGTAGGGCTAAGTATGGTTAGTGTGGATCTCGACGTGGTTGAATTTTATAAAAGCTATCGTCGCTCGCGTAAAGACTCGCCTTAAAAATACCGGCAACGCACTCGCGAGCCCTCTCCCATTAAGCCTTTTATTTTTTGTGCCTGACACACATTGTTAATTTTTTGGACATAATATTTGCAAATCTTTATTACCCTAATCTAAGGCTAAAGTAATCTTGCAGGTAAAAAAATGATTTTTTTTTAATGGAAATTATAGTAAATTACACACTGTTGAGATTTTCCGAACCTCTTATTCTATGAAAAAAAAATTGACAAGCTGGTCAGCTCACATCTAGCCTACATATTCGCTTTGTGTATTTGTGTATGTAGTGACATTATTTTACGTTGATTGCCCATAATTAGTAGATAAATCGCACTTGAAATAGTTGCGGAAACGCTAACCCTACGTCACGAAATTATAGGTACAATATAAAAAAAAATATTCTTAAGTTACGAATGTAAATGTAAAATGAAAATTATTTTCTTTGGCTTTTGAAACAAGCACTGACTCACAACAGTAGCAGCTAGCGTCACGGCTTTGATAAGTTCTTGTATTTTAATTTCTTGTTTTATCCCAAAATCAATAGATTATAAAGTGAATAGGGTCTGGTCGAATCCGGGCGTTTAGACCAAGTTTTCAGGTCGCACTAGTTCTCAATTCAAACTCAAACTCGAACTCAAATGTATAAGGGGCATTACACAAGAAGCGGACAGCGAAAAAAAGTGATCTCGTGAATTTGTTTAAATTCAGAAGTCAAACAATATTGCCCATAATGGTTCTGACCACGCCTGTGAATAAAGCCATTTTTTTCTTATTTGCAACACGAGGTTGGCGTTATTTTTATTAGGGGTAGGGTACGTACGGGTACTTATCGGAAGGTTCAGGAAATATATTCAATTATTCAATATGCCAGTTTAATGAATAATGTTGTGTTGAGAAACTTAAAAAACCCTGAGCAAATTAACTATTCGACAGGTATGCTATGAAATATACCAACTCCCGTAGACTAATAGATACAATTGAGACGGCCGTTTCAGCTCAGCGAATCGGTCTCATAGAAAGTATTATATCCAGATTATGTTTTCAGAATATTAACTGAAATGTGCAAAATATTTGAAAGGCGCTACCCCGCGTTCGCTCAAAGTCACTGATTTATATGATATGTATTATTATTAATGAAATGTTGAAATTTTTTACTGAATTGTGACGCGATTTTAGTGCATTTTAAATTGACCCTGAAAATAATTGTTTCAGGCTATTATCAACTTTACTTATGGTACAAAGTTTTTTTTTACGCGAGGGCTACACGTAACTTCATAGCCAAGATAATTCGACAATTCTCTTTATTACGTAATCCTACAGCTGACATAAATTAATATAACGAAAAACGATAACTAACTTTAAAAAATAATTAGTAAAATATATTATTAAAAGGAGTCCGTTTAGGCAAGGTTCCGAAGATACTGGCAGAGTTCCCCGTTTTAATAGCTAGACTAATTCTTTGTCCGAGGTACTGAGGATCAAGTAAACTTTTTTTTATTTCATTAAGTTTAAAAACTACATTAGGATAATTGATTTTTCTACTAAAAAAAGGATTTAAAATTTAATTTGTTCCTTATTGAGAAGAAAGATACTTAAAAATTATCGCTAATATTGTAGAACAAAATTAGATAGTCAAGTCAAGCTTTGGTATAAGATTACCTAATATAGTAAATATAAAATAATGTCTCTCTTATGCAAGTGTTAATTGCGGACAAAGAAAAAATTATTTGCGTTGTGATTTTAAGCTAAGCTTCGCAGAGTAACCGCTACAAAGTTTTATACACGAGGACAAGCAACCGGTGGTTGGCAACTGGTAAGAGTTTTCCGAATGACACGCTGATTTTAACAGAAATTTCCGATTTTATAGAAAAAGTATCTAGTTTTTTTACAAAGAAATATGATTAAAATCTAGCGAATATTATGCAAAAATATGGTACTTTTGAATTTCTATTCAACTCGGTGATTCTTCACCCATCAAGTTTTTCAAACTAAAAAAAATAAAAATCATTTAATTTTTTGTATTACATAAAATTATTTATAAAATTTTAATAATAATTTTGATATAATATTTTGCTTTAAATAAATTAACATGTATTTATTATCAATGTAATATTGAAAAAAAAATATTAATGACAAAAATACTTAAAAAGTTAAAAACACGATAAATAGAATTTTATTCATTTTAACACACTATAATTTAAGTTTTATTTAATTTTTCACAATTTATAAAATATAATTTTCATCGCGATAATTACAAAAAGCTTTTCTAAAATATAAACGCTTTTCTAACATATAAAATATATAACGTAAAAAAATATATAATAATAATATTATATTAATTACGATTTGGAAACACTGATTTTATTTCACTTCGCAAATATTTATCAGGAGAACCTCGACGGAGCTTTGCACTGTCCGGAGATCACAAAGCTACTATTCCAGAATGCAGCCTGGATATCGCAGGTAAGCGCATATATAGTACCTATATATATTATTTTCACGAATACCCTTGAAATATGGACTTGCGTAGATGGTGATGCGCAGACTTTCTAGTTATTACTTTAAAGCGAACGCATTTTTATGTGTTTAGCTGTTGCCCCTACTTTGTTCGTGTAGGTACGTGATTCACAATGTAATATTGCGTATCATTGAATAAGAATACATTACTAAATCAACTAGATTTTTTAAATCGAAAAAAGTAAAACATTTTGTCTAAACAGTAAAGATACGCTCAGTGGTGACTCTACCGTGATGTAATTGTAAAACGTTTGATAAAATATTTATATTATTTGTTCAAATATATGTAGGGATTAAATGCATTATAAAAAATCTAGCACATGTCCTTTTATCTTGGTATTAAGAAATCAAGTCTGAACTTTACCATGAGCATCAAAATTAGTTTCTGATAACTAACAATTACAGTTTAGGCTTGGCCAATTATTGTTTGTGGTTTTGTCTATATGATACGTTGCGCTCGCATTTCCGTAGACTGTACCTATCGAAATTAATTGATTATAATTGACGGGTAGTTTTAGTTGAATCTTTGATATGTTGCCAGAGATATTTTCTTATTTGTTGCGCTGTTGTATGGGTATATATTGTTTTGTGTTTTGGCTACTGTGGTTTTGGGTAGCTGCGATTGGAGATGCTGATGATATCTTATGATGCATATCAACATAAAGTTAAGGAATTTTTTTGTCAGCAAAAGTTCTACTTTCTAATATATACGTACACATTATAAGCATCACACAGTGACAGTTATATAAAGAAGTTAGACTTAATAGGATGAACAAAATTTCTATTCATTACTTTTTACATTTTATTCTTTGAATTCAGTTGACACTGTGAAGTAAGTTGCCGAGGAGGCGAAGAGAGCGAGAGAGAATAACTTAGAGCGAGATAAAATGCGAAACTCAACACCAAACACGATGGAGGCTCACTGAGGACGCCCCCTTCCCCTCATCTTGAGGTCCAAGGGCACGAGGTCAAGCTGTAACATTCAATATCGATTCCAATAATGATGGTTGGTAACTTAATAGATATAACATTAGGAAAGTTTATTAATTATTTCTGTGACCACACATTTTCATATAATATAAATAAATATAACAGTGCTTACTCCAAAAATGAAGTTAATAATTGGCATAATTCAATTCGATCTTGGGGTTTTATAGTACGGGAGGTAGCAACGTTTTCGAGAAAGAATTTCAGGTCAGCTGATTTTGTGATATGTCTTCCTTCTTGCACTTTCGGTTAGAGTCTGGGCAATCTGGCTGGCGGTAG